ACATGATACTTTTATCAAAGTAATCTCTTTATGAGAATAAAGGCCAACTCAGACAGCGTCGGCCGAAGCAGCCCGACCCGATTTATCGTCGGGGACAGTCTTAAGCCGTCGTGAGAAAAATTAAACACGTTTAATATTCTACTACGCGACTGCCCCCGACGCACACCATCGCGTCTGCGTTCAACTCACACAGACCCGACGCGACAACAAATCGCGTCGGGCTGCGTCGGCCGACGCTGTCTGAGTTGGAGTGGAGTTGTTTTGGTCGTGAGGAAAAGTCCTGCTGTCACAGGAATTGAACCCAGCACTATGGGATTAGAAGGCAAGCACCTTAACCACTAAAGCTATTCAACTCCACTCCATAGGAGTTTTAGCTTTGGTGAAGAGGCCGTGCAAGCTTTAATAACTTACAGATCATAAACTTTCTGACTGCTTACGGTTTCGCCTATTTATTTTCTCTCATAGAAAGCCAATTGTAGCTTTACTCATGTATGCCGATTATTCGTAATTCAGTATTCGCCAGCTCACGGAGCAATTTTCGCCATAGCTAGCTAAAAGTACTACCGTAGGCCTAGTATTTCAGCTACAGTAACCTACAATGTTTTTTTTTAAATATTATTATTATTACTAAGTAGAACTCTAATAATACTCTATTAGTATTTTTTGCTTTAACAATATTTTCTTGAATTTTCGAGTTTCTAGTGCATTCATTTATGGATTTGCCCAGGTAATTCCTATATTTGAGGTCTAACTAGTAAGCATAATACCTCAATTGGTTAATACTGATTATACCACCTCAGCTTCAGCATGGTTGGGGCCAAAAAAAAAAAAGAAAATTTAGGATTACAGCACCTCTAGACGGCCGAAAATGGCCGCACTTTTTTTCTTAATTTTTTTCCATTTAAAACTGGGTGGGTGGTGTCGGACCCGGGCTGACTGGCCTTCCTATTGAATTCGCCACGGTTAGCATCACGATCATCTGTCATCATCATATTCATCCTCATCATCACATGAGGGAGCAGCTTAGCTCAGTAGACCGACTAATCTTGTGGTAGCCATATTGTATGTGCGCTGAACCGTGGAGATATATCTCTAGATCCCCGGTTCAATTCTCATCGCTGCGCTCCTTGTGTTTCAGCCAGAGGGCTGAAATACAAGTTATAATAGCGCACCGTCTTTTGGATGAGACGTTTAAGCCGTTGGTCCCGTGTGCATTTATGGCCCATGTGCACGTTAAAGAACGCAGTACACTCTTCGGAAAAGAGTAGGGGATTGTCTCCCGGTGTACTGCCCAATCACCACCAGAAGGACCCCATTGGAAATAAGTCGTCTTCTAGACTTTCGTGGGCTAAACTTGGTGAATAAATCTAATCAAATCCAATCCATTCATCATCATCATATCATTATCATCATTAATCCATGTAGGTATCCATATTATTTATTATTTTTATTATTATTGTTATTATTATTATTAATATTATTATATTTAAGTTTATTAGTTATTATTTTATTATTATTAATTGTTATAATTATATCGACTTACAGGTATACTGTATTTTATCTTTATGTTTTGTTTATTGGAACTAACTAAATTCAAATCAAAATCTAATCATTTTATACAATACTACCTCAGTACTTGTATTTCATTTTTCGATGTCAAATTCCACGCATGAATAGTTTCAATTCATTACCGTAATTCATTACTTGAATCTCATTATCCGGGTTAGTTGACCACTTCCTTATCAACGATCGCATGCATGATCTAAATGCCCGTGGTAAGAAAATATGGTTTTGATATCGGCTTAGACAGCAGTAAGATATAGTATTAATGATTAGTGCCTCTCAGAAGCATCTTACTCTCATTCGACACGATACAGACTCTTTTATGTTAATATATCAACCACCCGAGTCATAATAGCTACACACGGGCTTACGCGCAGGATTATCGGGGATTTGGACATCTTGGATGGCTGGATATAACGAGATCAATCTTTGCGGGGGGCATTATTTAAAGGTTCACATTATAAACACCTCGTGATCGCAAGATGTGACCCGCGAAGGGGCTTTAAATTCATCCAGTATAATAATTGTATTGTACATATTGTCGAAAATGATTTACAGCATCAATTCAAGTGAAAATAACAGTGCAGTACACAAGTTGACAATGTTGTGATTACAGTAGTCACCTCTGAGCGCGAGTAATTAAAAGACACGTGGAAACTTGTGTACCGGTCGTTTAGTTGACAGAACTGAAAGTAAAATTTCTGAAACATTTCTTAGCATCCTTGTAATCATGTTATGTAGCATTAGTAATATGGGCTTGAGACTTTCTTGATTAAATTGTTAGAGACCCGGTAGGTCTGCATGAACTAGCGATGTTACGGTGTCACTGATCGACTATCACTATACTGTAACGGGAAGGGACGAGCGTGTCTACAGATATCTGTAAGGAGACCGTGTGAAACAAATAATAAACAAGACAGTATACCATCGATCACGGTTTCCAACTTTTATTGTTCCTCTACAGTATAATCACAATAGGGCCTAATCAAAAACAAGGGAACAGAAGTTGCAAAAGGGTTTCCTGAGTATAAGGTAGCTGTATCTGAATTGCTCCTTTCTGTATGGGAAGATGGTATTTTGGAATCTGCCTGGGTCGCAATTGGAATGTATTAAATAGAAGTGAGTCCCAAGCCAAAATATAACTATATCCAATAGGATTAGAAATAAGGACATTAGTGTCCGGTAACGGTAACAGTGGTCATTTTACCCACTGCCCTGGATGATGGGTGTGTTTTGCTTTAATTGCTGGACTATTTGTAATTTATGGTCTTGGGCACCCTCCTGTTGCCTGTCCATTACAATACGATAAATATATTAGAACCAAGATACTGATACTAATTGATATTAGACTGGGATAATCCATGTTGTTGGGCCTGATACCAAGTTTATAACCGATAGCCCAGACGACCAACGCACGGGACAAAATTTAAAAAAATTGGGCATATGGGCCTATTTTTTTTTAAATGTCTCATAACGGCTTTTAGTCCGGCATGCCTTAAGCCGGACACTCACTGCGCCCGACGGTCGTCGGCTGACGCAATTTCATTAAGAACGCAATGCCACGACGCGCGCGCAACTGATCGTTTATTTAATGCCGACGATCCCTTCCACACTGCATACAATCGGTAGAAGGCGTCGCGTCGTCTAAAGCCTGGCTTCTATAAAAATCACTACACGTTATCGCCGACTCTTTTCGCGACGCTGATTAGTCGGTTGAATCAGGGAGCGTTTCCGATTGCGGCGGGGACAGCGACGCAGTACAAGTATTGCAGTGAAAACGCTGTAGCGATTGTATGTAAACCGAGCTTAACGCTCGCAGGAAGTTTGATTCGATGGCGGGCGGTTGCATGACGCAGTGAGTAGGCCTACCCGACTTATGGGCTATATAATTTCTTATGATTGCATGATACTCTCTAATATTAAACATGGTTGAAGATCTGCTAGGTGCTCTGTAGATGTTGACAAAAATACCAATATTTTGGCGACCATCTTGAAATCAAATGGGCCAATGGTAGCAATCTGAAAATGTCTGATAATGGCATGCTCTGATATTGAAAACATTAACAGTGCTAGGTGCTGTAGCAGTGTAGATAATTATATTAACAGAAATCAAATTCGGCGTCCATTTTGGATTTTTCTATTTTGTCTATTATTTGAATGATCCTTTGGTGTCATATGGCTACCACTGAGGGAAGTTTCATTCCTGCAAAAGTTTGACATTCCCCTTAGCGGTCCACCATGCATATCAGTAGTCAAATTGACAATTGCTTTAAGCTTATTGTCCACATAATTAAAAATAAATTGTATATGCCCATATTTTGGTGCAATAATGACATCATGCCCATATGGACACATCACACAAATTTGACTTCATATTCATTTTTGTCAAATGTGAAATAGTGCTGACTGATTGGACAGATTAGCCTTTCTCGGTGAGCTAATCTAACACGTGTTACACGATTAAATAATTAAGCTGTACACATGACTGGATCAAACTATCAACGTCATAGTTTGATTGATGCTTAACTTCATTAGAGTTGTCAGTGCGCATGTAACCATTGAACTCGTCTATCAATCAGTTGGGTATCTGAGGGATTAAGGCGTGAAGTGTTTGCGCCCTCTCCCATCCGTAGGCGCTCTTGATTCCACTTTAATCAAAGTAAAGTATTTAAATCACCTCATTTACAGCTAGCTCCCATTCACTTTAGTATCTAGCTGCAAAACCTTTCCCCTTATGATAATACCCTTAGAAACACTATACGCATACTACAGTAATACAATTCAGAATATTTTAATTCAATTTGTAGGCTTACGGCGCGTACCGTTTGTATATTATCTTGGTCAAAGTGAAGACATTTTTCATGATTATTCATAGCAGACATTGCGAATGTTCTGTTATATATCACATGTTCAATTTTTCAATTCAATTCAACATTTTCTAAAACAGTGCGTGTTTGAAGAAATAACCGGGAACGGCTAGTATTAAGATACATTGATTAATATTTCAAAACTGAGGGGGAAAGGGGTGTTATGCCTTTAAAAGAACAATATTTCAATAATATTTTTTTAGGGATTTCAGGGTTTCACCATTATAGAAATTTCATCATGTTTAAAATGACGTTATAAAGTAATGTGTCATACCTGCGAGTATTTATTATTTAAACAAGAAAGTATTTCCATTTATTAATTTGATATACTGTGATTATGGTGAAATCATGAAACTCCCGAAAGCTAAACAAGATTGTTAAATATTAATGATTTTGGGTTTTGTTAGTTCGATTACTATGCACATTAAAATGTACGCACGTTGTCAAACGCAGTCGTCACGACAGGGAAAAGTTATCATCGATAATAATATTTCATTCCGTTTCACACTGTTTCATCACTAAGCGTAATCCATGGCTCCGCCTACTCTCTCCCTATTGGTCAGAAACAAGGACTCTGATGTAGCGATTTGCATTTTGATCAACACCGCGTGAGTAATGGTGACGTCAGCGTTGACAACCCTTTATATAAATCGTAATAAGGTACTTTCCAGTTAAGCCTCAAACCAAGGAGACTCAAATAGTAAACGAACTACCACCGAACCATCAGCAGCAGGGAAATCACGGTGACATCATTATCTATTATCTAAGTATTTTATTTGTTGGTTGGCAGTTTATAAATCGGTACACGGAAAATTTCAACATTCGAACGTTTACCACACACGAATTCAGTTATATAGAAGCAAAACAGCAAATTGAAAATGGAAGCCTTTAATCAAGACTCAGCTAGCTACATAAACAGAAGGATGGCCAGACGCAATGCACTGCCAAATGTTATGGAAGGCATTGAGCCTAACCAGTTGCGGAATCTCAGGGTGCCTCTTCTTGGTCTGCTAAATAACGACCATGCGTACATCAGTGATGACGAAGGCTGTGAAATTGCACATGCAAAAAGCCCAAACAGCTCATCCGAAGGTGGTTTTATGTCCATTTTTTCGTACGACCTAGGCAACAATAAGTATCATACAAATGTGGAACAGCAGCTGAGTGCCGACAAGGACTTGTTAAACAGCCCGTGTTTCCGTCGTCGTCGAAATGCCCTACCGGATGCATTAGCCATACTTGACGACAAAAGCCGCCAGAAAATATGTACACTCCGTTCGAAGCACCGGGGGATACTCGGATCGAGGCCGTGGTAGTAACAGCAACGGATCCAAAGACTGATCATTTTTGCAGAACTTTTTTTGTCATATCCGTTCATCGAAACCATTATACATTGTTATCATAACTATAAGGCCGTGACGGTTGGTGACTCGCCATGAAAGTGATTTGATGGGTTAAGACTTAAATTGAATATCGTTATTAATCATATTCTGGTGTTGATATAGGCCTACGTTGTTCTTGGTGCATGAACTTTTGATTACTGAGCCAGGAAGTCGTTTACAAGAACAGTTTCACTTTAGTGCTGAACACGAGTATTGTACTTTACACACATCACATAATAATGCGACATCATGATGACTTAGTTAAGTTACCATAGCAACACAAACTCGGAATAAAACATCGGGAAATGGATAAACTGGCATGATAAATGTCAAGCTACGTTACAGTAAGCCACAAGTCGCACGTTGATATACGATTCGTTCGGTTATACTGATTCAATTCGCTAGTCGATCGCATTACCGTTACTCACCTGCGTGTTTGTTCGTGTAGGCCTGTGAGCACACCAATATAAATTATGTACGCCTAATTATTCATTGGTGGATTCTCTTATGAACTCCTCTAGATACACTTTGATTATATGCAATGTACTATGACTTCAAAATCATATCACTTTACTGTAAAGTGCTTCTTAAAATGATCTGTTAATACTGTAACAATGATATTTATAATATATAGGCCTATATATGTATATATATATAAATTATAATTTAAACATAATAATAATTATTATTATTATTGTTGATATTATTATTGTTATTTTGTTAATGTTTATGATTCATATGTGCAGCTGGCATACGCATTCATTGCACTGTAGTTAGTCATAATAAATATCTTTAAAACGCCAATATCGACCTTAAGTTCAACATACATAGGGACGATATTCAATATGACATTTGAATAAAATATAATAATGTTGTCAGATGCCTATGTGGGGTGTGTTTATGGTTGTTTTTCCGGAGGGGAGGCGTTTGTGTCGTACAGGAGGTCAGTGTTGGTTCGAGTCGGTAATGATGAACTTGCTCATGGAAGGTGTCCAACATCCAACAGTTTAGAGTTTTTCCACTGATCCAATTATGTGATGTGAATTACAGTAGTAGGCCGACTGCGTTTGGTATTACCATGATGTATATGACGAAACTCCTAATCATAATATTTACAGATTACATCATGCTTATATTTACAAATTTACCATCAAATTCAATCAATAGGCCTATTCCATGTCAATAGTCAATGCTATTAATTAGGTGATCATTGATTATACCAAGGTTATGTCAGCGTAGCCATTGACCATTGGGAGAAAAAAAAGGAGCAAAAAAGAGTTTCATCGTAGTAACAACTCTAGCGGAAAAATAGCTTTATGGTAGTATTTAATAGTATGCAAAACAAACAATAAAATATTTATGACCAAGTGATTTTCTTTGTGGCCTAGCCCCTTAATTTATGTCCTATAATCATTAATGCAAACAGCACGTGTTTTATAAGATCTATTTTGCCGTAGATTTTCTAAAGTGCATTTATATAATTCCTAAAGTTTCTATATTGTAGTACACTGGGCTGTAAATATGGCAAGAAAACATTTGATTCTTTAAGGGTGTGTTATAACATGGTTATGGTTATAATAACTCCTTACGTATGTTATCGTATTGAACATGAGTAAATTTTGTACTGCGTCCGATATATTAATGCTTGTCTTCCTAGTTTGAGAAATTGTGCGTAAATCTGTTTAAAGTTGTAACTTGCATTTGTTTGATTAGTTGATTTTGAATTCTTTAAAACGAACGTCAGCTGGTTTGACTAGAGTTGTATTTTTTTACGTTTAAATTTTTTTTAAAAAATAGACCTAATTTATTACTGTATTTAATGAATTCATTACCATTATTATTAACTAAATGTGTTACCCAGAAGTATTAATAATGTTCTCGTCATTTTGCGTTTTGCAGTTCAATATTGTACTTTTATCGTTTGCTTGTTTATATTTATGTACATTTCTCCTTTTTGGAGGTTCTTTGAAATAAAATTTAGATAATTTGAAATTTTGAAGTTTGAAATTAAATTTGCGAAATAAATTTTGACTTTAAATGAATTTTTGTCAATATTTTGCAGTTTCCGCAGTTCAATGAAGTCATCCTTTATCCCTAATTTCCATTTAATGAGCTCATTGCTGCGAAGCAGCCAATTCATATTCTTGACAGCAATTTGACCTCTAAAAGGTCATTGTTTGTCAAAAAACAAGGGCCTAAAACGACTGAAAAGCGGAGTTTCCTTCTTTCGTTCTGCCGGGTAAAATCAATTACTTTAGGCGACGTTTTTAGACTAACCAACACGTACCAACGTCCGCATGTCGCGCTAGCCTTATCCTACTCTGGCCTAGACTAGCTAGGATGGTATAGGTCTAGCCTTGAAGGGACGAAGGTCCCAATGAAAAACAACGTCGCTCCTTGATAGCTAACATTGTCTATTTAACATCACAGTAATTCATTATTAGACCTATAGTTGTTTTTTGAATTGTACTCCACAAATCTCAGCCGATACCTCGCACAACTCGAGTTACGTCTCGTATCTATTGTCGTGACGTCATGGATTGCTGGCTCACACTTGCGATGTCTCGCACTTGTGATCAAATAACACGCTGGCTCGCACTTTGGCAACACTCTTTGGCAGTCAACTCGCCCCTAGAAGCCCGCCCTTGGAAACTTGCCCCATAAAAAATGTATACTTCCTAGATCATGCAGTCTTCAAAATAAAAATTGTAACCTTTGGTAATCAACTACATTTTCCACATACATAGAAATTTTTGAAAATTTATTAAAAAAAAGCTAAACCATAATTCACTACTATAGACACTTTTTGACAAAAAAGAAAAATTACGACTTTGTTACCCAATGAGAAGTGTTCTAATATAGACAATGGGTCGTGTCTCATATTATTTGTTATATTTTTATTATTCATTATTTTCACTTGACTTTTGTTCGAAGAACATTTATATGCAGTTGTACTTCGCAGCACTTCACTTGCAATTTGCAATTTCTAGTAATTGACTAGTAGGGAGTAGTGCTACTCACATTTTGATTGAGCCATCTATAGGCCTATTTGAGAGTGTGTGCATGTGGTTGTGTTTCCGTTAGGATGGGGGTGGTATCCATTCGACATCCCGTCGATAATATGAGTTTTTACTAAAGAGTATGCCGTGTATATAAAGCCATATTTAAAGATATGATATTACCATAATCCTGCATACTGCTCTTCAATCATCAACCCACATGTAATGTATGTGTGGATGTTCTTATGACGTCATGCTGTTACAAAATCATAATTTATTTGGATACTACGAAACAGTGGCACAATTTACATGACAAAGGTGCGTCCAAAATTATGTTTACACCAGATATACAATACTAAGTAAAAATTATGTAAAGATAACAAGTATAAAGATTAATTGGGATGTACTGTACACTGAGTTCAGGAAAAGATGCCTCATTGAAAGCGGATGTTGAGCCAAAAGGACCAGCCAATTATGCCACCCTAACATTCTTACAACTTTAAAAATGAAATTCAATCAGTTTTGGAAACTAAACGAGGGCCTAAGCCTGTATACCATGTATAGTAGGGAAAACATGAGTCCTGGGTGTAATTTTGCCCTTAGCCTAAGGTAGGCCTAAATTATTTTACCATGAAGGTATAAATTTGTTTTGCCACTCATTTTTTTAAAATTATTAATAATGCTACTGAAAATGGAAAGGAAAAGTGGGCCTGCATAAAGACCAGAATGGATTTTGGATTTTTTTAAACCCTATTTTGCTTGATCCGTTTCTGCTACGCAAAGAACAGTTTCTATTTAGGAAATTATTACTGATAGGTCTTCAATTGACGAATCGGTTTCCCTTATAAGGTTAAGCAGGGAGCAGTCATATACTAATATAACCATGAAGGAAAGAAAGAAACCGTTTCTTCCTCCATGAATTATATATTATAATTTATAACTTGTATGACTGTGCCCTGCTACCCTGGTTTAAGCATGGATATAAAATACCTCAACTCAGTGGTTTACTAAACAAAGCACCTTGCGAGTGGCCCCATGATTATCGTTCAATTGAAACAACACCAACAATAACGATTATTCGGTATGAACAGTCGATTGTCAGCTTGTACGACTCTCCTTCTTTCATAGCGTGATTACAACGTGACCGTGAAGTTTCATGCATTTCAATGGAAAGTGCAATCCGCTTTAGTTTCCCCATCAAGAAGGGAATGGTTTGTGCTTTGATGAGCATTGTAATTAGTGGTATTATGAGCAGAGTTCGTCAGCCTCCTGATGATCCGATTCAGCCTGATCATTGATCGGTCCAGTTGCAAAAAAAAAAATCAAAAAAAAAATCATGTTTTTAATACCGTAATTCATTTGACGATACACGCAGCAAAGAAACCTACATTTTATTCTACGTTTCGCTTTTATTTAAGCATAATACGGCCCACTGCCCGCATGCACTCCAAAAATATTTCAAAATCATTGCATTTATTTCAGCGCCTTATGTTTTTTGCCGGAAAGGCGCCCCAGGCAGACCGGAATAAAAAATAATAAAAAGAACATTTTTCAAATTCAAAGGAGGCCTATACAACGAATTAAAGTTGATTATTACGTATTTCGATCATTCAAGTTTATGTTGTCTTTTGCCGATATTAAAATAGAGAAATGTTTTAAGCATATAACTTAAACAACTCTATAAGTACGGTATACATATATAGCTCAGTTTAAAGTATTTTTAAAAGTCTAATACTTAAATTAAAACCTCAAAAATGGCCTTCAATGAATACATTTATTTTTAATTTTTGTTTAAATGTTTTTTTGTTTTTTTTTTTTACCCACGATGCTAAATTTGAATTAGGTGTTTGAGTTGATAAAATATCCGTTTTTATTACGTTAACTGTTTTCGTGCTGTTTTGGTTTAATGGCGTTTCGACCCCCTTACACCAAATTGTATTTGACTACACTGGTATCGTAATCGATAAAAGGCCTAACTTGATTTCCAAACTCTGTGGTGAAATATTCAGCATAAGGCTACTCCACCACATCTGCTGCTCATTATCTGTGGTCTTTGAATAACAAAATATTAGAAATTTGTAAATTTCCTGCATAATCCAAGTTCATTGTTGCTTAGATTAGTAAAGTACTGTCCTCGACAATAGCCTGTTAATTCAAGATGTACGGCACACTATTGTATATGGAGGAAATATATTATCTTCATTATATCTCCTCCGTGGTCTGCCTAAGGATCCACAATATACCGGTATTGACTGTTTAAATCAGTTTAAGTTTGTATTCTTAGTAATTTTACAGTACTTCCTTGTAGGCCTATTCCAGTTTTACAAATTATATTATTTTTTTTCTTGTTCTATATGTATTTTATTGTGTATATTTCTTTAAGTATGTACCATGCATTTTGTGTGAGTATGTGCCATGGCGCCACGGTATCAAAAATGGATGGAAATCGATTGATAGTACGAATATTATTTGCTATCGATTCTATAAATCCTACGACACGTTTTCTGGTTCCATTCTCAAAAAAAATTTCAAAAACGCATTTCAAAATCATGATTGTCTTAATGTTAGTGATTTTGATGTTTCAATTAATAAAGAGTCTTCGTTGAAGATTATCCTCAATTGAATGTTGCTATGTCTTGTATTGGTGGGTGGCAACCTTCTCGGGTGATTGGGAGACTCATTGTGGTCCACCAGCAGACAGTCAGCTGTTTTCCGTTTTCAAATTCAGGGTAGCGCTGTCCCCTTTTCTTTTCAGCTGGTGGGTCATGGTAATCAGTCTGTTCTTGTTCCTGAGACCCCCGCCCACCCATATGATTCTCTCATGGAATGTATTATTTTTTATTATCTATTTATTCATACTTTTTATATTTCTGAATTGTATTTTACTACTTTTTTTGCCTATCGGACCAGGGGCGGATACAGAGATGTCCGAAAAGGGGAGGGGTGAAAGTGGGGCCGATCGAGATAACACTACCCTAGGGGGTCCGAGAGCATTACAGAGAGAGCAAAATTATGCTGGAGATGTGTATAAGAGACAGATATATACATATATACAGGCTTTCGAAATCGATCAGATATGCATAACTTCAGTAATGCTAGAGCTTTAAGTAGCTTCGGGGTAAATTGCTCCTGGTCTCTAGGGGTCTTTTAGTAATATTTAACAACAAATTATGACAAGAAATTAAAATAATCAACCAACACGAAACATAAATACTTGTTTTGTTCTTCAACAAAAGGAAATGTTAATGCGTAAAAGTGGCCTAGTTTACTACTACTGCGCGGCATTCTGGTTTTAAATTCAAGTTGGGGTTGAGATTACTTTGCTTTAAACGATAACGACAGACTAATTAGTTGTGTTATATCACTGTTTCCCATCATTATAGCGATCTTCAATGAATATTCGATTATTAGTTTGCTTGATGAATATAACCGCTCCAGTCAGTCTTGAATAAGAAAGGTAGTCACTTACTCTGAATTATCAATATGAGTGAGGTTAGCACTCAGCACTAACCATAATTTAATTCTTTCTCTCATTTCGTTTCACGGATTGAACTTCTTGAGACTTTTGTCTTGTAGATTTTACGTCATTAATCTTTTGTTGTGCCATGAGGAAAAATAAGTTTCTATGATCTTTTTGTATTTTTGACAAATAAAGAATTGTCAATCTTGTATGATTATGTAGACTATTTCTCGAACGATAAGGCCTCTACAAGGGGGTTCATTCCAGGTAAACTGGAATGGAACGAACATTTTTTACGTACATATTAGGGTTCATTCAGACGAATAGCACTCACGATAAAACGCAAACCTACACGGGATTGTTTATCGGATTGAAGACAAATATTGTAGGCCTATAGTAAACTGGTGCAGTTCCATTAAATAATGACCAAGCAGTTAGGCACGAGGAGCGCCCCAACTTAAGGTCATAATAACAGCACTGTTTCTTCGAGTGGCATGCTCGGATAATGACTAAATAGGCCTATATACGGTAGGCTCAGTATGCACAATTTGGCTCAT